CAGGAGAATTGCCTGAACCCAGGAGGCGGAGGTTGCGGTGAGCCGAGATCGCGCCATTGCACTCCAGCCTGGGTAACAAGAGCGAAACTCCGTCTCAAAAAAAAGAAAAATAAATAAATAAATAAACTGTATCCTACTATATAAGATTTCATTGTAACTTAATACAATTTATTCAGTAAAGATATAAAAGCTGGGAGAATTGTTATCATTATAAAAGTGTGATATGCAGGAGTCTCTGACCAGGTAACTCAATATGCCCTTGATTTTCATAATTCCTGTAGGACAGTGGCTAATCAGACACTTTTGTGTGTACTCACTGTGGAGAATCTATTCCACTGTCTCCTGCCATGCTGTGATTTTCTGTCCCTTCCAAGTGATTGTGTTCATGTTGGCTATCCTGAGCCAACACTGGCATATACAAAGTGTTGAAAAGTTGGAACTTTTGTGGGAAATGTTTTCTCATTTCCTGATTCTGAGGACTCTGACTCCAGCTAGCTGGCTTCTTTCCTGTGTCACCAATAGAGTCTTGTGCGACTTCAGCTTCAGAACTGGCTTTTCTTGCGCTATAGTAATCAAAGATTCTTTCATCAACAGGTGCTGAGGCCTGTACACATTTAGCAACACTGGATTCTTCATTGTAGTTAAAACCAAACTGGGCCCCTGAATTTAGGCCACAACTTTCAGTAGAGAAGTTAGGTTTTTGGCTTTCATCTGTGGTAGCATGCAGCCCAGTGGGTTTGTAGCATTCGTTTCTTTTAAGCACTTGAGGCTCCACCCTCTCCGTTGTGCTGTTGTACTCGGTCAGTGATCTCTCAGTCACTTTTTGTTTTCCTAAATTTCCCTGGCTTCCACCTGTGAAGGAATACTGAATGTGGCCAGGCAGCATTTGACATAAGTCATCATTCTCAGAAATGTCGTCATCCTCTAGATATAATGAACTACAGGCACCATCATCATCTTCCACTTCATTCTGATACACGGCCTGGCCATCATCAGAAAGCCCTTCATTTTCTAGGCTCATAGTCTCTGCATCCTGGACAAATCCTTTTCTCAATAATTCTTCTGAGTCTCTGTCATTTCTCTCAGGTTGTCTTAAAGGGTTCACGCCAACTGGGTAATCCAAAAGGCCAAGATTTTGAAACTGGTGTATGGTGTTATCCACTAATCTACAAGCAGAGGGTGTTCGGTCTGAAGAGAAGGCACCTTGTGATGGCAGGCTATGCAGAGTCTCTTTGGTTTCCCCTAATTTGTCAAAGTGGGAATGACTTTCCCTCAAGACTTCAGGATTTACCTCATTTTCTCCACCGTACCCATCATATCTCAACATGCTTTCTGTAAAGGGACAGCATGTACCATCATTTTGCAAGATGGCATGTTGAGGGTGATCTAAGAGGTGACCTCTGAAGTCATGATTGATGGGTTTGACAGTAGGGTCATTTATGTAAATGGATTCTGCTTCCAGTTTATCATTAGGCTGTTCAGCATATGGCTGTTTAGCTTTACCATCAAAGATTCTTGAGGAATCCAAGGACCTAGGCCTTTGGAAAGACTTTTCCTTTGGTCCAGTCTGGCTGGGTTTCAGATCACTGGTCTTCGGAATTTTGTACCCTTTGCATATTGTGCTTCCTCGGTGAGACAAACCCTGAAAAGGATTGCTGATTTGCTTTTTGTAAATCAAATGGGAACCTAGCACTGTTGTAATCTCACTAAGTGGTTTCTGACCTACCATTTCATCAGGGCTTTTAATTCTGGGGGCGGGCTGTGTAACAGGGAGCTTGTGGTGTTTCTCCAGTCTAATGCTTCCTGGCTGAAGTTCACTTCCCTGATTCCTGGCTTTGTGTCTATCCCTTCGAGAATGGCCCCGCCCTCGAGGTTTTGCAGACAGACTCTGCCTTTTCTTAACCCTCTCTTTTGAAGGATATTTATGCCCAGTTGTCAGCACGTCAGTGGAAGTGCCCTGGCTATTATATTTTTTCTGTAATTCGTATTTTTGCATTAGGACAGTGTGTTTGATTAAATTGTCAACAGTCAAAATGGGGTTAATTCGTTTGATTATCTCGTGTTCAACATCTCGAGGGATATTGTCCAAGTCATCTTCATCTCGTACAGGCCATTCTTCGGGTGGGAACTGAGCAGAGAAACTTCTGTGTTCTGTTTTGGGCTTCTCCTTTCTAGATATGCTGCGCCATAAGAGACTAAAACCAAACTTCTTGCCTTTTTCTTTTTCTCTTGTGTATGGTAAAGGTTTGGAGCTCCCACACATGTGGTGCTCCTCAGACACTGAAACTGCCCCATTCTGTACCCAAGGTACAGATTCCCCAAGACCTCTGTGACTATTCCTAGTCACTTCTGCAGCAACTGGTGGTTCCTGAACATCCTGAGTGTGCACGTCCCGGAAACACTGGCAAGACTGACAGTGGGATATGGGGGCAGCATTCCCTTGGGTTGACTCTGCGCAGCTCTCCATGCTCACCAGATATGTCATGGAAGCTGGCACTGGGCGACTTTCACCTGACGGCAGGACTTTCTTATTTTCCTGGGTGGTTGTATTTGTAATGAAGTAAGTCTGAGGAGTAACTATGAAGTATCCTTCTCCAGTGTGATAAATCTTCCTTTCTTTAATCAGCATTCCCAGAGTGGTGTAGAGAATATCTTGAGATGGAATTGCAATACCTAAAACAGACAAGCATTTTACACTGATAGATTCTCAATATTAAAAATTTTAATGAGTGAAATCAGTAACTCTGAAATGACTACACATTGGCTTGATAAACCCAGAGCTGATTGTAACATGATTAATACATGTGATTAAAATGCCAGGGCTGGGTGTGACAGCTCACGCCTGTAATCCCAGAGCTTTGGGAAACTAAGGCAGGAGGATCACTTGAGCTCAGAGTTCAAGACCAGGTTGGGCAACATCACAAGACTTCGTCTCTACAAAACGTTTTTGTATGGGAGGATCATTTGAGCCCAGGAGTTCAAGGATTCAGTGAGCTATGATCGTGCCACTGTACTCCAGCCTGGGCAACAGACCAAGACTCTGTTCAAAAAAAAAAAAGAAAAAAAAAGGTAAAGAAGCATAAATAATATTTATAACTTAAATAATAGGAATAGGCTGGGCACAGTGGCTCATGCCTGTAATCCCAGCACATTGGGGGGCCAAGGCAGGCAGATCACTCGAGCTCAGGAGTTCAAGACCAGGCTGGGTAACAGAGTGAAATCACGCCTCTACTGGAAGTACAAAAATTAGCAGGGCATGGTGGCGGGTGCCTGTAATCCGAGATGCTCTGGAGGCTGAGGTGAGAGGATCGCTTGAGCCCCAGAGGCAGAAGTTACAATGAGCCATAATCGCACCACTGCACTCCAACCTGGCAACAGAGTGAGACCCTGTCTCAAAACTAAAAATAAAAATAACAGGAAAATAATTTGGTCCACACAAAGTCATATGTGTAGATTAATGAGTAAATAAAAAAAAATCTGAATTCACTCAAATACAAACCCATTACAAATTTAAACTGAGGAAAGAATTATTTTTATTTTTACTTATATTTTTTAGAGATGAGGTGTCCCTATGTTGCTTAGGCTAACCTTGAACTCCTGGCCTCATGTGATGCCCTAGCCTCAGCCTCCCAAGTAGCTGGGACTAGAGTTGTGGGCCACCCCACTAGGCTGTGGAAGGCATTCTTGATGAGAAAACGGGAGTTTTTAAAAACCACAGTCTCGTGGCTTAAATATTTACAAGAGAAAATGAAAACTAGTCTGGTTCTTGGATGAGGGCAAACTACCTAGCATCAGGATATGGTATTAATAGTTCTTCAAACCAAAAGGTAACAAAATAATTTTTTTTTTTTTTGAGTCAGAGTTTCGCTCTTGTTACCCAGGCTGGAGTGCAATGGCGCAATCTCGGCTCACCGCAACCTCTGCCTCCTGGGTTCAGGCAATTCTCCTGCCTCAGCCTCCTGAGTAGCTGGGATTACAGGCACGCACCACCATGCCCAGCTAATTTTTTGTATTTTCAGTAGAGACGGGGTTTCACCATTTTGACCAGGATGGTCTCGATCTCTTGACCTCATGATCCACCCGCCTCGGCCTCCCAAAGTGCTGGGATTACAGGCGTTAGCCACCGTGCCCGGCCAACAAAATAATTTTATTTAATTTATTTATTATTATTATTTTTTAAGAGACGGGGTCTCGCCGTGTTGCCCAGGCTGGAGGGCAGTGGCTATTCACAGGTGCAATCCCACTACTGATCAGCATGGGAGTTTGGACCTGCTCCATTTCCGACCTGGGCCAGTTCACCCCTCCTTAGGCAACCTGATGGTCCCCCGCTTCCAGGAGGTCACCATATTGATGCCAGACTTAGTGTGGACACCCGATCGGCACAGCACACTACAGCCCAGAACTCCTGGGCTCAAGCAATCCTCCCACATCAGACTCCTGAGTAGCTGGGACTACAGGCACGCGCCACCGCTCCCGGCAAAACCAACGCTTGTCTCCTTCAAGCCGGAATTGAACCCGCGACCTAAGGATGTCTCCTGCTGAGGAAGTAGCTACAGTCCTCCGCTTTACCAGCTGAGCTATCGAAGGGACAAAATAATTTTAAAAGAAATTCCCTTTACCAAATAGCAGGTTCGAAATTATGTCATGAAAATAATAAGAATGTTTGGCCGGGCGCGGTGGCTCATGCCTGTAATCCCAGCACTTTGGGAGGCTGAGGCGGGTGGATCATGAGGTCGAGGGATCGAGACCATCCTGGTCAACATGGTGAAACCCCGTCTCTACTAAAAATACAAAAAAATTAGCTGGGCATGGTGGCGCATGCCTGTAATCCCAGTTACTCAGGAGGCTGAGGCAGGAGAATTGCCTGAACCCAGGAGGCGGAGGTTGCGGTGAGCCGAGATCGTGCCATTGCACTCCAGCTTGGGTAACAAGAGCGAAACTCCGTCTCAAAAAAAAAAAAAGAAAAGAAAAGAAAATAATAAGAATGTTTGTATAAGAAAAATAATAGAAGAAAATATATCAATATGTTCACGTTGGTTTCCTTTGGGTGGTACTACTGTGAGTGGTCACGTTTTTGTATTTTCTGAATTTTCCTATATTACTTGTATAATGGGAAAAATAAAAAAAATCCTTTTACAATGATGCATTGGATATCATGCAGCTATTAAAAGAATAAAATATCTAAGTTTGCTGAAGCCAGATGCCATTCTTTGTTGTTGTTGTTGTTTGAGACGAAGTCTCACTCTGTCACCAGGCTGGAGTGCAATGGTGCAATCTCAGCTCACTGCAATATCCGCCTCCTGGGTACAAGCAATTCTCTTGCCTCAGCCTCCTGAGCAGCTGGGACTATTGGTGCCCACCGCCATGCCCAGCTAACTTTTGTATTTTTAGTAGAGATGGGGTTTCACCAAGTGGGCCAGGATAGTCTTCATCTCCTGACCTCGTGATCCACCTGCCTTGGTCTCCCAAAGTGCTGGGATTACAGGGGTAAGCCATTGCACCTGGCTCAGATGCCATCTTGAAAAGGAAGAAAATAAATAAAAGAACGAGTGGCGCATGCCTGTGGTCAGGAGGTTAAGGCAGGAGGATTGCTTCAACATATGAGTTTGAGGCTGCAGCAATCTAAGAAGGTGCCTCTGCACTCTGTGAGGCCTTGTCTCTAAATAAATAAGTAAAAGAATGACACATGTCAATATATGTTAGCATGAAAAGATCTCTAAGATATGTTTTTAAGTTAATAAGGGAACGTGTTGAGGGAATGTATAGAATGATCCAATTTATGTTATATAAAATTTGTTATATTATCATATATAAGAAATGATAATAGCAGTTGTTATCTCTGGGAAGTGAGAATGGAAAAATGGAAGGTGGGGGGGAAATAAACTCTCATTTTGTACTCCTTTTCACAGAGTGTGATTTATTTATTGCCATAAGCATTTATTTTTGGAAAAGGTTATCTGGAAAGTAAAAGAAATACCCTTATCAAATTTGTTGATGCAGAGCTACGTCTGGCAGGGTTCTGATATAAAGTTCTACAGAAGAAGGGGGAAAAAAAGGATACCACCCAGTTTACTTATGGGTTTAAGACTAATTACAGAAACCAAACACATGCAATGAAGTACAAATGGAGAAAAACTTATTACTCTACCTGGGTAATGTTTCATCAAATGCTCCAAAAGTGATTCCTGTGTTACCTCAATCTGAGCTGTATTCATATCAGATATAGCACAGCAAAGAACTTCACCCAAAGGTACAAACTGAGATTGAGTTATTGGATTCATTTGCACTGGAAAGACATCACCTAAATTGGAGATTTAAAAAAAGGAGGGTGATAAATTTGATATAGTATAAAATGTTTGGAATTAGTGAAACAATAAAAACTAACAGGTGGAATTGCAATTATTTCATCAGTCTTTACTCAGCATCTGTTAACATGACATGTACAATGATAGAAACTATGAAAGAGGCCGGGCGCGGTGGCTCAAGCCTGTAATCCCAGCACTTTGGGAGGCCGAGGCGGGTGGATCACGAGGTCAAGAGATCGAGACCATCCTGGTCAACATGGTGAAACCCCGT